AGGCCGATGCTGCGTGCAACGGCAATTCTCGCAAAAATACGGTAATACAAAATTCAAAAAAACGACGGATCGCACCCTCCCCGAAGTGAGGGGCGCTCCAGGTCTCCGCGGCCTACCCGATCGGGCGTTTTCGCCCTTGTGACGGCGCTCCAAAAGCGTCACGTCACAAATATTTATATATATGTATACTGTTTTAATTTTATGTTACCTATATATATCAAATAAATATATAAGTATATGTGTGTGCATGTATTGTGTTTACTAAACGTTTTCTTAATTCTTTTCTTTCAGTTTTAATTCTCGTCTCTTAATTCTTTTTTTCAGTTTTTTACATATCACAGGAATAAATAACAAGGAATACAACTAAGCAATTTGGGCCAATAAAGCTCGTGATTACATTTACCATATATTTTCCATTTGTTATAAAAATAAAATATACCAAAATGAAATAAAACACTATAATAAAATACAAAAAATGGAAATTTAATCTATCCATTATCTGATCTTAATTCTATCCATTAATAAAACATTCTCTTTCCATATTTCAAAATAAAATGTCTATATTGCATGTAATATGTCTTGGCATAATCGTTATTAATTAAAATTATTTTAATAGTTAGTTGGTAAGAGCAGTCGCCCGGAAAGTGAAAGACGCGGGTTCGATTCCCGCTTCAGCGACTTTTTGGACCTATATTTTTCTCGCTTATTTCTCCATATGTAAGTTACGAAATTAATTTATATGTGGAACTTTGGGATCTCAAATTGAGATACAGTTCCGTTTAATTAATTTTTCGTTTCGTTTTCGTTTCCTTGGCTCTATTGCCCGGCTTAGAAGACAGCATACTTATATAACATTTGTAACGGTTCACCTTTCCCGACGCCGCGGATCGGCTCGCCGGTTCCAGGATTCGGGAGGAAGGGGGAAGTCAGACTCGCTTATTCCTTAATATAAAAATAGTGGGTTTATTCAAATAAAAACAACGAAAAGAATGTTTAATAGCAGGGTACAGGTCATCCTACGGGTTTAGCGGATCGCTGGTATACGTAGTGAACGGTGATCGCACGGAGCGTCCGGTGGCGTAAGCCTGAACAAAGAACTTAAGAGCTACCCGGTATATGTACAAGCGTGAGGATCGAACGGAGCGTCCGGTGGCGTAAAGCCTGAACAAGAACTTAAGAGCTACCCGGTATATGTACAAAGCGTGAGGCTCGAACGGAGCGTCCGGTGGCGTAAAGCCTGAACAAAGAACTTAAGAGCTACCCGGTATATGTACAAAGCGTGAGGCTCGAACGGAGCGTCCGGTGTATTTACAAGCTCGGAGGCGTATAGCCTATAACGGTGTCCAGATGGGACTTACAAGTTACCCGGTATACGATACTGGAGATACAACAGGCGGAGGCGCATAGCCTATAGCGGTGTCCTGATGGGACTTACGAATTACCCGGTATACGATGCTGGAGATACAACAGGTGGAGGCGCATAGCCTATAGCGGTGTCCTGATGGGACTTACAATTTACCCGGTATACGATGCTGGAGATACTAGGTACGGGGCGTAACGCCTTTATTCCAAACGGAGAGCGGTGAAGCCAACGTACGGCGGCATATAGCCTTATAAGGATGTCCGGAAACCGGGAAACCCAGTATAACGACGAGAAGCCCGTCGCCCGGATGTTAGCAGGATGAACCGGAAACCGGGAAACCCAGTGTAACGACGAGAAACCCGTCGCCCGGCGGATAGCAGGATGGACCGGAAACTGGGAAACCCAGTGTAACGACGAGAAGCCCGTCGCCCGGCGTATTACAGGAGGAGACCGGAAACCGGGAAACCCGGTGTTACAACGAGAAACCCGTTTGCCCGATACTAACGGTAGGAACCAGCGACCGAGAAACCCGGCACTTTCACAACGAGAAGCCCGTTGCCTGGTCTGGGAGATTTGGAACGGGACTGGTGCCGGCTCGTCCGCCGAGCCGGCTTATATACCCGTCCGGCGGTCCCCTACTCCGCGTCGAGTCCGTGGCGGGGTACCGCGCCGGGATCGCGGTGGGGTGCCCCCGGGGTGGGGCGGCCCGTGTGGAACGATTAGGGCGCCTTTAGGCGCCAAAGCCTCACGTGGCGGGCGGCTGATCGGCCCGCGAGGCGTTAGTAACGGCTGCGCCGTTACAAATTATTTTAACATAAGATATTAATATATTCTTTTTCTTTATTAAATAGATTTTGTTTATTTTCCACATTTTAAATTAATTTTTTAGACATATACATATGTCAATTTTTTTCTCAGATATATTCACTCATTTCATTTAATAATATATTTTTTTAAAATTATTTTACACTTGCATATACTATACATATACATATACAGATATACAATATTATATTTAATACTAATATAATTTTCTTATCTATATATATGTATGTTGCTTTTATGTAATATAATATGTTGCCACATATTTTTTGTTCATTTTATTTTAAGTAAATTATATATTACATTAACTTTCATAACATTTTTACAACTAATAATATTTTTTAAGTATAATATATTTATATATATTGGTAGATTTCTTTATATGTATATATAAATTTTATGTATTTTAAGATTAATTAATTACTATCGTTCATTTTTCCAAATTTTTATATATTTTTTAGCTTTTTCCAATATATTAACAATTTATTTGTAGTAATTTTCATTCAGTTTAGATTAGTTTATCGTAAGGCCGGCATCCTATGGAGCGGATTACGCGGAAGCGGAACCAGCGGATCGCCAATCACGGAATCGTTCCGATGGAGCTCATCGATAATAAGTTCTATGTGAGTTTGACAAAACGGAAAATAAAGGATGAAAAGAGAGAGAAGTTCAGATGGCGATACTGGGCAACTTACCTATTTCGCGCATGCGCACTCCGTTTTGGCCCTCACTGACATCAAAAGTGCCGACAGAAGTTGCGCTACTGTATATACTGTGCTTGAAGTCTCTACTTTAGAAAACACTCGTCAGAATTTGAATTTATCCTCTCCCTTCCTTCGCTACTACTTCAAAAGTAAGACGTCCGGGAAAAAGTTTGATCTAAAAATAAATTTAAGTAGATTTAAAACATCTATGTAAATCTTCATTGCTATCTAATTCTCTGTAAATCTTCGAATATCAATTTAAATTTAATGTATGTATGTAAAACCAACTCGATCTACTAGCGTAAATCTATTCAGATCTAAATACCATATATCTGCAGTAATATATCTATTTTGATCTAAATACATTTAAATAATTTACCCTAAGATTTTATTGCTCATTTAGTTGGCCTAAATATTTTATTTTTAAATAATTTTTTAATTTCTACAAGCCTTCCAATTTTTGATATTAAAATTAATATAAATCTATCGCTGTTTTGTTTTCACAATCGAATCAGTAATGCAGTCTTAATTGTGATTATTAATACTGCATATTTTGAACCACGAATCTCTCCGTTAGTGCGGAAAATCCATTATGATTCTCGAGGGAGGTGAAGAAAACCACGAATCTCCGCGGGAAATCCATTATGATTTTTGAGAGAGGTAAGGAGGAAGAAACGTTCTCGTTATAAGTTTATAAAAGGAATATCTTTTGTTTGGAATCCGGGAATTATTTACAAGAAGTAAAGTTGTTTGAGATGCAAAATAATTCTTATCGCCAGTTAAATTATTTCGGCAGTAAAATGTAATTAGGATTTTCATATATTATACGTTTTCAGTCGAGACAAGGTTCGATCTCGAAAATAGTTATTGTTAAATTCTAGAATCTTCGATCGGCAATAATAAAGTCACATTTGTTTGTAATGGAATAAAAAAGAGTCGTAAATTGACAGCTGTCATATAAAAAACGCTCAAATACACAAACAAGTAACGGTGTCGCAACCGTTCCGCCGAATAATTATATGCTATTGAGCATGCGCCACTTTAAAATCACGCAAAATTATTGGCGCTTCACGCGAGGGTGGGCTCCTCTCCGAAAATGATAAAAGAGGAGCTCACACCCGGTTTGCGGTCTTATCGCTTTCCGCCGTGTACGCATAAGAGTAAACCGCTTAGAAAAACCGCAGAACATTAAATCGACGACCACCGCCTTTTCTTTTGATTTCGAATTGTCCGCTGAAACTGATTAGATTTTGTGTTAATTTTTTGTGCGTTTAATTGTTAAGTATTGTACATTATATTTCCGTAAAGATTCGTATATTAAAAGTTTCTTTTATACTAAAAGTGACTCATCCTTTTTTTGGTGTCGTTCGATTCCTCTCACGCAGCGCGTTCGCGAACATATTTCTGGTCCTTCGAGCCGGATCTTCTCGCCGGCACCCGCAAGTTTGTGAACGTGTCTTCGTGTAGTTCGTGAGTGCTCGTAGTTCACCATGGATGTGAACACGTTGATCGATTGCCAACGTGAGATCCAGGTCCGTATTTCGCGCTCCGTGGAATACCTGAAGAAGCTGGGCACGACCAACATCACCGCCAGTGCCGTATCTACACGCACCAGAATCTTAGATCAGCTGTGGACGAAATTCGAGGCACAGCATGATCTCATTCGCGCAGCTCTGAAAGAAAAATATTGTGAGAGCGAATACTACAAGTCGGAGTTGCATGGAGATACGGAAAATCTGTACGTTGCACAACGCAGTACCTTGGATAGTTATGCCGAACATTTCCGGAAGCCGAACGTATCTCCAGCCGTCGACGTCGCATCGAAGTCTTCGCTGCCGCGCATCAAGTTGCCGCCGTTCTCTGGCGCCTACGCCGATTGGCCATCCTTTCGCGATCTTTTTCTGTCCATTGTGAGCAGCAATTCGATCTCGAACATTGAGCGGCTCCACCACCTCCGCTCGTGTCTGACAGGTCCGGCTGAAAGGTTGATAAAGTCACTACCTGTCACGAGTGACAATTACGATCGCGCTTGGGCAATCTTGGACAAGCACTACAATAACAAAAGAGAATTAATCCGCTCCAACTTTGCCACGTTTACCGCCGTGCCAAAGATGAAGGGAGATACCGCCGAGGAGCTGAGCCGCATCCACAACGCTGTCACCGCCGCAGTCAACGCACAGGAGAGCATCGGACGTCCTATCAACTCGCATGGGATGGACCTGTTCAACCACCTGGTCGTCGAACTGTTCGACGCACGCACTCGTCTCGAATGGGAGTCAACCACTTCAGACTCCACCGAACCACCACAGAACGAGGCACTTCTCGACTTTATTAGTCGACGAGTATTGACGCTCAACGCCGCACGACCGAGGAGTGTCACAAAGGGACCTGGAGAAACATCACGATTCGCCAAAGCGCACGTCACGAAGCACCAAGGCGCGGATTCACCTCACTGTGCACTGTGCCGTGAAAACCATACCTTGATGACGTGCAAAAGCTTCAAGGCCAAGACTGCGGTTGAGCGGAAAACGTTCGTGGAAACCAACCGACTGTGCTTCAACTGCCTAGGCAATCATTTCTTAGCACGGTGTCAGTCAAAAAAGAATTGCCTCACCTGCAACGCACGACACCACACCATGCTGCACGGGGCATCCACATCAACACCATCCGCTGAGGCCACTTCACTTGCCACCACACTGGTCACTGCACGGCAAGCTAAGACGCACAAGGCCGCCCTTCTCGCAACCGCTCGCGTCAAGGTCGCTGATCGATACGGATCACCACACGAGGTTAGAGTCTTGATAGATCAGTGCTCCGAGGTGTCCATCATCTCTGAGGCTCTGGCTCAGCGTCTTCGGCTGCCTCGAGCTTCAACGGATCTGTCCATCTTCGGCATCGGAGGGACTCGCTCTGGATCAGCGCGTGGCAAGGTCACGATAGACATCACATCTGACGTGACCAATGCCGAGCTTCGCGTGGTGGCCTTTGTGCTGCCGCGCATCTCATTGCAACAAGGCACCGCTCAACGTGAAGATCGTAGCTGGCCTCACATCCACGGACTTCGATTGGCCGACCCGCGCTTCCTGGATGACGATCCTGCGGAGTTACTTCTGGGAGCAGAAGTCTACTCGCTGATCCTCGAGGAAGGCCTTCGCAAGGGCGGATCACGGATGCCGATCGCCCAGCAGACGAGCTTAGGATGGATCTTGTCCGGAGGCTACGACGCCGCAGCACCCGAAGGCCATCGCCGCACGTTCCAGTGCACCACAGACCACGACCTCGCTAACATGGTTCGACGCTTCTGGGAGCAGGAACGCGAGCCAGTAGCTGGGACACCGCTCACCGCCGACGAAGCCAGGTGCGAAGACTTCTACGTGCGCACGGTCACTCGCACGTCCAGTGGCAGGTACATGGTGAGGCTGCCATGTACTTCACCGCCGCCGACATCGCTCAGCGAGACTCGTCGACCCGCAGAGCGCCTCCTGGAAGCCATGGAGCGGAAGGGAGCACGAGATCCTCGCTTCGGTGACCTCTATCGAGATTTCATGGAGGAATACGAGAACCTGCAACATATGGAGGTCAGCACAACTTCAACAACCTGCAGCCCTAGGTGCTACTTACCGCATCACGGGGTCCTCAAGGAGTCAAGCACGACCACGAAGCTCAGGGTCGTGTTCAACGGCTCCCAGCGCACACGGTCCGGAGAGTCGCTGAACGCACACCTCCTCACTGGAGCCAATCTCTTGCCAACACTCGCTGATGTCCTACTTCGTTGGCGTTGGCATCGGTACGTTCTCGTCACGGATATCGAGAAGATGTACCGACAAATTCTTGTACATCCGGAGGATCGTCGCCTGCAAACCATCTTGTGGCGCCACACCAGCTCTGATGACGTCCACGAGTACGAGCTGAGGACCGTGACCTACGGGCTAGCGTGTGCACCCTTTCTCGCCATCAGGACTCTTCATCAACTCGCAGCAGACGAAGAGGCACGATATCCACGCGGAGTCAAGGCACTGCGACACGACTGCTACGTCGACGACGTGGTCACCGGCGCTGATAGCTTGGAGGACGCTATCGACCTTCAGCAGGAACTACGGAGTCTTTGCATGGCGGGCGGATTTCCTTTGAGGAAGTGGGCTGCCAACGATCAGCAGGTGCTCACCGGAGTTCCACCGGAACATCGGCATCAACGCAAACCGCACTCATGGGAGGGAGAGAGTCACGCTACCTTGGGCCTCCGATGGCATCCGCAAGGTGACTGGTTCTCCTTCACCATACGTCCGCGTGCAATCACCGACTTCACGAAGCGACGAGTTTTGGCCGAGACGGCTCGACTCTTTGACCCGATGGGGTGGCTCGCACCTGTCGTCATCAGAGCCAAAATTCTGATTCAGACGACGTGGCTTCAACGGCTGGACTGGGACTCCCCGCTGCCTGATCAGGACGCACACCGCTGGAGGCAGTTGTTGAATCAGCTTCCTCTTCTAGATGACATCCGCATAACTCGCTGGCTCAACACTGGGACCGACCATTCACAACTGCAGCTCCATGGGTTTGCCGACGCATCAGAGCGAGGGTACGCCGCCGTGGTGTACATCCGCAACGCTGCAACAGAGAAAACATCAATCAACCTGTTGATGGCAAAATCCAAGGTCGCACCTGTCAAGCAGGTGTCGTTACCTCGCTTGGAACTCTGTGCAGCAGCTCTACTTACCACGCTCATGCTCCACGTGCGCTCTACTCTCGGTTTGACAACGACGCCAGTGCATCTGTGGTCAGATTCAAAGGTCACGCTCCACTGGATTCAAGGACACAGCACCCGCTGGAAAACCTTTGTCGCCAATCGAGTGTCTCAGATCCAGACCCTGCTGCCAGACGCTCAATGGAGACACATCGCTGGACGAGAGAATCCTGCAGATTGTGCATCACGCGGTGTTACTCCTGACGAACTCATTAAGCATAAACTGTGGTGGACAGGACCTACCTGGCTGTCAGGAGACGAGACTGCATGGCCTTGTTCCGTCATCGAAGCCGCAGAGGATGACCTCCCGGAGCAGCGAGCCACCAGTTTGGTGGTCAAGGCACCGATCACGGCCGAACCTGACCTCCTCCTCCGGTTCCCGACGCTACAAAGGCTGCTGCGAGTTACTGCATGGTGTCGGCGATGGCTCAATCCGGCGAGACGCGACGTCATACTTGGCCGCACTTTGCATCCGGACGAGCTGGACGTCGCCTTATTTCGATGGCTGCGAGTGGTGCAGGCGCTCCACTTTCCTACGGACGTAGCTGCGGCCTCTGCTGGACGCACTAGTCCACCGCGAAGCCACCTAGCGAGGTTGAGTCCGGTCCTCGATGATCAAGGCGTGCTGCGCGTCGGAGGACGTCTCAAGCATGCTCAGCTACCACTCGACGAAAGACATCCAATGATCATCCCGGCGGCATCATGGTTGACTCGGCTGGTGATTGATTCCTGCCACCGACGGACACTGCACGGAGGTGTGCAACTGACTCTCGGCTTGCTCCGCCTGCGTTTCTGGGTGCCCCGAGGAAGGACCACCGTCAAACAGCAGCTACACCGATGCGTGACCTGCACTCGATGGCGCGCCGCAACACCACAGCCTCCGATGGGTAACCTTCCTCGGGACCGAGTAACGCCAACTCGACCGTTCCTCAGCACCGGTTTGGACTACGCGGGACCAATCCTCCTCCGGACCAGCAAGGGGCGTGGACACCGTGCGCACAAGGGATACATCGCCGTCTTCGTCTGCTTCTGGTCGAAGGCCATTCACTTAGAAGTTGTCTCGGACTACACCTCGGAGGCCTTCATCGCCGCGCTGCGCCGCTTCATCTCCCGCCGGGGTTTGTGCGCTGAGATTTACAGCGACTGCGGCACGACTTTCATCGGGGCAGATCGGACGCTGCGAGGTCTCTTTAACGCAGCGACAGCCGAAGGTCAAAGTGTCATCCTTGCCGCCACCGCTCAAGGAATCCGCTGGCACTTCAACCCGCCAGCGGCCCCGCACTTTGGTGGTTTGTGGGAGGCCGCCGTAAAGTCGACCAAGTTTCACCTCCGTCGGGTGATCGGCGAGACCACCCTCACGTTCGAGGAGTTGAGCACACTCCTCGCCCAGATCGAAGCTTGTCTGAATTCACGTCCGTTACAGGCACTCTCAGATGATCCAGAGGACGTCTCGGCGCTGACCCCCGGTCACTTCCTCGTTGGGGCACCGCTCCTCGCCTTGCCGGAACCGTCATTGACAGAGCAGACGGTGTCCACCTTGTCACGTTGGCGTCACCTGCAGCGGATGAGGGATCACTTCTGGCAGCGATGGTCATCCGAATACGTGCACGGACTCGCCCCACGCACCAAGTGGCTCAAGGATGCACCTGCACCCCACGTCGGCGATCTCTGTCTCGTGCGCTCCGAGATCACCCCTCCGAGCCGATGGCCTCTCGCTCGCATATTGCGTTTGCACCCCGGAGACGACGGAATTACACGCGTCGTGACCATCCGAACGGCCACGTCCGAGCTCGTGCGCCCACTCGTCAAGCTCGTGTTTCTTCCGGGCGTGAACGACGCGCCTACACCGCACATTGACACATAGCATCACTCACTACACAATCATCACATCATGCACCATATCAATTGTCACACATCACTTGTTTCGCTCACCACCGCACTAAAACTTGTCTCATTTTCACCGCTCACTGCATCTCACACTCGCCGTTCACATCTGCCACATGTTTTCGCCGTTCCAGCTGATCGATTCACATCACGCGATCACCACGTGTTTTCGTCGACTCAGCTGATCGATTCGCAACACGCGATCATCACGTGAATTTCGCCGCGCCGACGCGAGCCCGCCCCACCATCAATCACCATCGGAATGTGATCCGCGCCGAAATCATCATCAACCATTTGTCACGTTGCGACAAGGCGGGCGGGATGTTTGAGATGCAAAATAATTCTTATCGCCAGTTAAATTATTTCGGCAGTAAAATGTAATTAGGATTTTCATATATTATACGTTTTCAGTCGAGACAAGGTTCGATCTCGAAAATAGTTATTGTTAAATTCTAGAATCTTCGATCGGCAATAATAAAGTCACATTTGTTTGTAATGGAATAAAAAAGAGTCGTAAATTGACAGCTGTCATATAAAAAAACGCTCAAATACACAAACAAGTAACGGTGTCGCAACCGTTCCGCCGAATAATTATATGCTATTGAGCATGCGCCACTTTAAAATCACGCAAAATTATTGGCGCTTCACGCGAGGGTGGGCTCCTCTCCGAAAATGATAAAAGAGGAGCTCACACCCGGTTTGCGGTCTTATCGCTTTCCGCCGTGTACGCATAAGAGTAAACCGCTTCGAAAAAACCGCAGAACATTAAATCGACGACCACCGCCTTTTCTTTTGATTTCGAATTGTCCGCTGAAACTGATTAGATTTTGTGTTAATTTTTTGTGCGTTTAATTGTTAAGTATTGTACATTATATTTCCGTAAAGATTCGTATATTAAAAGTTTCTTTATACTAAAAGTGACTCATCCTTTTTTTGGTGTCGTTCGATTCCTCTCACGCAGCGCGTTCGCGAACAAAAGTGATAATAATTGTCTCGGAGTAACTTACTACTTATTAAGCGCGTTGATGTCGATGGACTTCCGTAAAATTTAAATCTTAAATTTTCGCTATCATTTTGCGCATTAATTGTATTGTCGAATTTTTTAATATAAAACATTTCAGACGCCACTCTCTTTCGCAAGTTTCTTTCCTTATGTAAGATTACTGAGTTATCCCAATCAAAGTTGTGATTAAATTCTAAGCGATGTTCGATAATGACTGAAAAATTTCTTGCCAAAGGATCATTTATGTTGCGTCTTTGTTTCCCGACTCTCGTATTCAAATGTCTCTTAGTTTGTCCAATGTATCTCATCTGACAATCATTACAATTTATACAATATACACATTCTGTCTGTTTTTTGTCTATTAATTTGTTTTTCCCTTTTCTTATGTTATCTAACTTTTTAGGGACAGTATATACATATGTAAGACTTTGAAATTTTTATTTTTTAAAATTTGACAAATATCGTAATCAGATAATAATCCTTAAGGTTCGCCAATAATAATTAATAAAAATCTCTCCTCAAAGGTAAAAGTCAACCAAACTGGCAATCATTTATTATAAATAATTAGTTAAAATACAACGTTTCGACTGTCATTGCAGCTCTGTTCAAATAAATCTATAAAAAGTTACATAAAAATAATTATAACAAACAAGAAAACAGAAATTACAGAAATGTTTTATATAAAAAAACAACGTAAAAGCATTAATTTACAGAAAGATACGGAGAATTTTAGTGGGATTTATGATCATGTTCTTGACGCTATTTAAATTATTTTTATTTTTACCTATTTATTTATTTATTTGACTTTGTTATAAGGTTTTAGATTGCGAAAGACACATTAGTTATGTCTCGATTTTCTTAATGCGTTGTAACGTGACGCTTTTGAGAGCGCCGTCACAAGGGCGAAAAGCCCGATCGGGTAGGACGCGGGGATCTGGAGCGCCCCTCATTTCGGGGAGGGTGCGATCCGTTTGCGTTGTTTCGTTTTTATTACCGTATCTTTGCGAGAATCGCAATTGCACGCAGCGTCGGCCCGTCGATGCGCGTGCAACACGATTCGGAGGGAGAGCGACAACGACGGCCCGAGAGAGCGGCAGGAGAAGTTGTAAAGCAAGAGAGAGCGAGAGGCGGAGGAGGCCGGAATGCCACAGCCGAGAGAGAAGGATGGATCGAGAGTGAGAGAGAGAGAGCACGGGACCGCGCGCAGTTAAGTATCCAGTAGCCGAATTTAATTTATTATCTCTCGCGCAATGTTGATGCCGTACGGATATTCTAGGATACCGAGAGGACTCCGAGTCGCGCCTACATTTGGACCGCTCCTGGAGAAAAACGACGGAGGGCCCGGCCAGCCTACCGCTTGTTCCCCCAGGAGAAAAGCCGCAGGAACAAACCCGGAGAAAAATTCTCTCGAGCGCAGGAAGATATCGGCGAGAGAATTACCCCGCTAGAGGGGGAGGCGGGGAAGACTGTAGGGCCCCGCCATCGACCCTATCATTGAGGGAATGCGCGAGAGATCGGCGCGGCACGTAGGGTATCGAGGCGCGCGAGGCCCGGCTCTCCACTGTTCGGTGTGCTACACGACAGAGAGGGTGCCTCCGGAGACCCAAGAACTCAACCAAGGGAAGACTCTTCGCCAAAATTGTAAGCCGCCTCTCGGGTAGTCGTAGCTAGATGTGGGTCGGTACCGTGTGTGTTGGAGTCCTAGAGTAATTACCGTGAGTACCGCGTCTCTCGATATCGTATCGTTTGTGTAGGAGAGAGCGGTCTCTCTCATTCTAATAGCGTTTTCGATTGGGGTGCACTGGCTGCACTGAATGTCAGGCGCGTGTTCGATTGGTAGTGCCAATGCGCACTTGGCTAGTGTTGCGTGTTCGTTTGAACGCACAACACTCGCATAGTGCGCACTCAGTGCGTACTAAGTGGCACGAGATATTTTGACGGTGCCAGTTCAGTGCACTGGATGCATGCAAGCAGTAGGGCATTCTTTTGAATGAAAATTCGACATAATGAGCAATTCGGATTTGGCTCTCTTTAATATTTTGGAGACATTTTTGGAATCTTCTTCTAGTTCAAGCGAGCAAGAAGAAATAATTACAACTCTTCGAACTAGAAGAATAATTTCAAAAACTGTAAATTATGTAGAATGTGTGAAAAAAATGGATAATGACACCGTGTTATATCTTTTTATATAAACATCGAACCTATACCCTTTTTAAAATATAATTAATGTACTTAATGTAATAGCATTTTTATACTGAATAATAATAATTTTTATATTTGTCATACGTGATATTCTTGATCATCTTCTATATTTAATTACATATAATAAAAATCATTACTTAACTGAACACAAGATGTCGAGGTTACTTTTTCGTTCTTCCCGGAATCTAGTCAACTCAAGTGGCACTGAAAATTTCGGCGTGTTCTTTTTCACCTGCACTATTCAGTGCAACCCATGGAACTTGTCCAGTGTTCGTGTGAACTGAGTGCGCACTGGTGCGCACTAACTTTTTCCCAATCGAAAACGCTATAAGTACCGTACCGCAGGGCCGGCCGACTTCGAGATCGCGAACCGAGCCCTCTCCGAAACGTGCCGCCGACAGTCAATCGTTTTCGCGAACGATTATCGTACCGTATAATTTATCGCTGTATTCAGAGTCACGTATGATTATATCTGTGACCTCAGTAGATTGTCGGAATTTGCGTGCAGCCGTTCTCCGCGAGTTTGTTAAATGTTTCATTTTTCGACTCGGCGAGAGAGTCGAGCGAGAGAGGCGCGAAATTGCCGTTGTCTATTTGTCACCTTTTTTTGGATACCGCGCCGTGTCTCGAGTTTATAATTTTGACCTCTATACGTACCGAGGGTACGCGAAAATAAGTGTCAAAGTATATCAGCTACCGATCTTGTTTTGTTGTTTCGCATAATTTCCGTTAATAGCATATTCTCGAAAATTTAGTAAAGTATGTAAAAGTGGTTATTATCGATAAAATGTTAATCTCGTAATTCTGTCATTCCGGTCATCGTCGCCGATATTACTATTATACTTTGGTTCATACCGCTGATTTATATATTTATGTTATCCTATATCTAGATTGTCTAATAATACTAATCATATGTACCATTGTTAATCTTAAGTGTCAAATATACATATATGTCAAATTCTAACACCACGTGTATGTCTCTCTATACCTCTCTCTCACCCATAGACCCATCACTTCTCTGGATGAAATTCGGAGAAGTAACATTAAGTACCGTTCACATTAGTATCGTGGCGCGTTCACATGCGCCTGGCGTCCAACTGTACCGTGAGTACCGAATGTACCTAAGTACGAATAAGTAATTCTTTCCTTACCGAGTTTTACCGTATTAAGATTCAAATTAGTAAAATATTTAAATTGAACGCTCCCCTGTCCAAACTTGGCGTTTCGGCACAGGAAAAGACGTTGCAGCGTAGTGACTAAAATTCTTGCTAACTGTTAACATCTATTTATTTCTTGCTTACTTTTGTCAGTTCTACATTGTTCATTAAAACAATGGTGAATATTGTTGGTGGTATGCAGTGAATTTGATTTATTGTATTAATTTATTATGCATTTACGTTTGGTATGTAGCATATTTTTGTATATGAATGTATAATTATTTGTTGCGATAAAATGTATTAAAATTATAATTATTTTTATGTAACTTTTTATAGATTTACTTGAAAAGGGCTGCAATGACAGTCGAAACGTTGTATTTTAACTAATTATTTATAATAAATGATTGCCAGTTTGGTCGACTTTTACCTTTGAGGAGAGATTTTTATAAATATTGTAATATTTTTATAAAAAGAAATCGTGATATAATTTCTATGTTTATTTCCATAAGTAACGTGATTATTAACATTATCATTAGTCAAACCGGATGTAAGTTGCCTGATCCATTTTGTAACAACCCTTTCAATCATGTCTTTCGGGAAACACTTATTAAAATGCTT